AACTCCCAGAATTCCCCAGCCAGCATTCGCTGGCTGGGGAATTCTGGGAGTTGAAGTCCGGACATCTTCAAGTTGCCAAGGTTGAAAAACACTGTGGTAGATGGACTTTCTTACGATGGACTACAACATGCGGTAGATGGACTTTCTACTTGATAGATTTACATTCTCAAAAAAGAAGGGCAGAAAGAATGCATGCCCTTCTCTTCGCCTTTTCTAAGTGAGTGATGGGTGATAGAGCAATGTAGTGCACACCCTGTCCTCTTATCTGAGGAAAAGTTGCTATGACAAGGAAAAATGCTGCTCTATGCCTCCTCACAGTTCTATTGTTACCTTCTGTGACAGCTAGCTGGCAGCACAAGTGGAACATTTCTTGCAAGGAAAAATGTCCATAACTTATCAGTATTTCCTCTCAGAAATCAGACTTCGTCCACAGTAGGATACTTATAATACTAATAAGGCTGATCTCGAGAAGAAAAAGAAGATGAGAGAGTTCCAGGGAATGAAAACTTAGTATGTGCTTTAGAAAAAGATGAAATTTGTTTTCTTTCTTTCTAGAAAAGTGATATTTTAAAAGTGGTTGATTCCAGATTTAGACATATTAAATATTCTAAATTGACCCCCTTCTCTTAAGTGCCTCAACCATTTAAACCATAACTTTATTAAATATTTCAAGGTAAATAAAATTAAGTAACATACAGTTCGTTCTTGACTTACAATTCATTTATAGTCTGTTCGAAATTACAACAGAACTGAAAAAAATACTTATGACCATTTTCACACTTATGACTGTAACAACATCCCCATGGTCAAAAAATTTGGATGCTTGCCAACTGGCATGCATGATTATTGCAGTGTTCTGGGATCATGTTAATCCTCTATGCGATTTGACAAGCAAACCCAATGGGGAAGTCAGATTCACTTAACAGTAATGGTAATAACTTAATGACTGCAGTGATTCACTTAACTGTGGTAAAAAGGTCATAAAATGGGGCAGAACTCACTTAAGAACAGGGTGGCTAAAAATTGGTGTATTTTTTTTAAAACAAAAAAAATCAATTAAAAAAAAATAATCAGTTTTTTTTATTTACCACATTTATCAAATTTATTTTAATAAAATGCTTTTGGGGTAAAAATCTATTTAAAGATAGTTTTCTATTTAATATACATTAATAATTTAATTTATTCAGCATGAAATGGAGCTTAGTTATGTAACATGAGGCTGTATATTCTGCAATATTGGGACTGTCGGTGAGTCAAAAGGAGTCAGAGGAGGAGCCGCTGTGGGGACAGATGATAGTTGCTCTTTAAAAATTATGATTTAAATTGAGTTGATTTAAATCAAGCATTTTTACTAGTGATTTAAATCATGATTTAAATCCACCCTGTTTAAGAACTGTCTTGCTTAGCAACAGAAATTTTAGGCTTAATGGTGGTCATAAGTTGAGGACTATCTGTATATTTGTTTGCCTGAAGGAAGTATCAAACTTGCCGGATGCCTCATACATTAGCCATGCCCATCCCTGGTTTAGCGAAAGGGAAAGAAGTTGTGATACGTTGTCACATCACAGGTTTGACATCTGTGGTCTGAAGGCTGCTTAAACTGGGCAGATCTTACCTTATATCCACATTGATAGTGCACAGTGATAATGGATAGTTAGGGAACAGGACTATCTACTTACTGACTGACTGACTGACTGTTTAAATTTATATATCGCCCATCTCACTGTTTGGGATACTCTAGGCAGACATTTTGTTGAAATCTGCATTGATTATGAACTTTATAAGGAAGGAAACAGTTGGGTTGGAGTGGAGTTGGAGAGAGAATTAAATAAGAAAATGAATAGAATAGGGACTGGGAATAGAACTAGGAATGGAATTCTTTATTGGCCAAATGTGATTGGACACACAAGGAATTTGTCTTCAGTACATAAGCTCACAGTGAATATATAAACAGCAATAATACCATGTTTTCCCGAAAAAATGACATGTCCCAAAAATAAGGCCATGCCAGATTTTGGGGGTGGGCCTAAAAATATATGTCCTCTACTGAAAATAAGCCCCCCTCTCTCACACACACTCACATCACCCCAACCCTCCCAAGGCAGCCAAATCCCTGCGAAATCCTGCACCCCTTATGGCACCAACTGTAGACCTTCATTGATTGCTTCTGCGCCATGACAGCAGCCCCCTGTAGACCATCAGCATCGCCGCTCTAGGGCTTCCTTGGCAGGGCAGCTGGCAGCATCAGAGAGGCCTCCACGTGCGGTGGGCAGACATTGGTGTGCGTGCTTCCAGTGGGAGTGGCGACTGTGTGGTGGGGCAGTCGCAGAGGACCACAATGGCAGACCCAGTGCGTCCTGCAGTTGGGCGTAGGTGTCTCGGCGGGGATGGCTGTTGCTGCCATCACCACCTGTGGAGGCCCCACCAGCCCTTAGTTTCGGGGCAAAGGAGGGCAGCTGCAGTGACACTGGGAGCAGCCTTCGCGCCTCCACTGGCTTCAGTGCAGCAGCAGCGGCAACTTCAGAAGTGCCAGGAAAAGCCTTCACCTGTCCGGCAGCATCAGGGAGGCAGTAGGAGCAACCTGCAGCTGGCCGACACCTTGGGTGCCTGGCAGCAGCTGATGACATCATCTGTAGATATTTTTCCAGCTATCTTCTGGTTCGTGAAGTATACAGACACAATGGGATATTTAGGCCCGGACCAGTGGCCATGCCTCCTTCACTCCCAGAAATCAAAGGATGTCTGAGAAATGACCTAGGAAGTTGCTGAAATCAGTGGGATTTAACACTAACCAGACCTGGATATTTTACCCTTCACGGGCCACAGCCTGTGGTCTGTCAGGCTCATGGCAGCTTCCACAACAGTTCCAGTGCCTCATGTGGTCCCTTGGAAAAATTAGTTGCCCACCACTACACTAGACAGCGAATGTAGGGCATTTTTAAATATATAAAAATGTTTTCCTAAATGAAAATAGCCTTTAAGACTGCAAACTTCCGTGGACATGTTTGTATATCTGTGTGTTTTTGCGATGCATGGAGAGACTGAAGTTTATTTGAAAAATTGGAACTGTCAGTCTTCATTGGAGTAATATTTCTTAGCTTGTGCTACACAGGTTGTCATTGAACTACCACCACAATTGAACACAAAAATTTTATACCTAAGCAAGGCTGAGTTTCCCCCTTCTTAGCCACAATTGTTAAACAAATCACTGCAATTGTTAAGTGAATTGTATGGTCATTAAATGTATCTGGCTTTCCCCATTAACTTCGCTTGTCAGAAGATGGTTGAGAAGGTTATGAATGATGATCACATGAACCATGATAGTGTAATTGTCATAATGACATGCCAGTTATCAAGCACCCAAATTTTGATCATGTGACCATGGGAATGCTGCAGGTTTTAAAGTGTAAAAACTGGTTGAAAATCGCTTTTTTCAGTGCTGTTGAAACTTCAAAGTATCAGTAAGTGAATGGTTGTAAGTCAAGGACTATCTGTAGTGAATTCCTTCTTTGGGCAAGGACTAGATTATGTCGAAGGTTTCTGTCAATCCTTGCATTGTATGATTCTACATGTAAATGCAATTGTGTTGCAAAGCCATCATGTTTTTGTACAAAAATGATTATTTTAATTAGATTTTATTTTCAAGGGTTATTTGAGCTCATTCTATACTTACTTGAGCATTCTAAATGGATGATAATGTATATTCAAATCAGGGATGGGTGGCTGCCAGCATCACTGCTGGTTCGGCACACAAAATTATTTTTTTTATTATTATCATTATCATTACACAAAATTCACAACTGCGGTGCTTCGCTTCACCATGGTGACAAGATAGGTCATAAAATGGGGGCAAAACTCACTTTGAACAAACATCTCACTTAAGCAACAGAAAGTTTGGGCTCAGTTGGTGGTCGTGAGTCGAGGACTAGCTGAGTTTTATTTCCCTACATATAGGGACTATTCAGAAGGCTGAAAAAAGTGAATTATGACTGGTCCTTGCACTTATGACCATCACAGCATCCTCACGCTCACATGATCAAAATTTGGCTGTTCGGCAATTGGCATGTATTTATGACCGTCTCACTGCCCTGGAGTTGTGTGATTGCCATTTGTGACCATCCCAGCAGGCTTTCAACAAGGGGATGGGGACTTGATCAGGAGGTTATTTGTCTTATTTTTACATACCTGCCAGTGACTGACCTGGCTTGGTATCCTTGGACCGTGACCCGACAAATGTGCGAACGTCAAAAGCGTGCCGACAAAACCGCGGCGCTAAAACTGCGATGTCAAAAGCATGCCGACAACAGCGCGCCGACAAAACCGCGCCGACAGAAGTGCGATTTAAGTTAAGGTAAGGTTTAGGGTTAGGTTTAGGGNTGAGACTGCCTACGGAGTTGCTGCTTGCGTTTCTCAGCCCTTCTCAATCGAGCATCAGGGACAAACTGCCTTTGATCTTCCCCACTGCTCCATGCCTCAGGCGCCACCTGGTGGCCAACCAGCCTCTCTGGTCCCTGCTCTGAATCTGAACCCTGCACAGGATCCTCCACATCTTCCATGGCAGACTCATATGGTTCCTCACTATCCAATTCCATCAGCAGCTCAACCAGGTCCTGCTGGGCCACAACACCAATGGTACATCATATTGCAAAAATTATCTTTAAGGTTATAACATACCATTTCAGTCCTTTCTATACATATTTTAAACTGTATATTATAACCTGAAATTTAATCTCATTTTATAATATATACATTAATTTGTTCTCCAGTAAATTTTCAATAAAGGTTTATACATTTTAGCAATCACACGTTCATGATTTGTGTACAATTTTGTTTCCAAGTCAGTCTTACAATGTTCATACCAAAAACTGTTTTCAGGCTTCTGCTTCACTGTTTACCTTTGCTTGGTCCTTTTGGTGCAATATTCATTTTCTTTTCTTCCATTTTGGATGCTTGCTCAACAGGCCCTGGAGTAAGCTGTTCTTCAGAAGGAGGCTTATCATAAATATAGGATCCTGCTCCTCCAATATTTACACCTGAAAATTGAACAGGAAAATAAATCTGATATTAAAAGCTTCTAATGCCAGAAGCTATCAGCCATATTCCCGTATTTTAATGAAATCAAGTGAGGTCAATGTTACTCTTGTTGTATAAAAGCAAGCAGTCTATTTTTAAGAAATATAGATGTTATTGTTCTCCATTAATATGTAAGGATTATCACTATAAAGCTGCCTGTCTTTTAATAATGTTTTAATTACATAACTACCTTGGAATAATATTTTGTCACTATAAAAAATAAAGTCCTTTAACTTTTCATTTAATTCATACATTGGAGGTAACCAGAAGGTAAGCTGCTCCCTCCATCTATTTTTGCACAGTGGCAAAAATACTTCATGTGCATTGGTGGGAAAAAAAACATGTAGAACATTATGGGAGAAAGAAGACTGCTCCAGTCTTTTTGCCAGAAAAAGTGGCAAAAGGAAAAAAGCTGAATACTCCCTTTTTCTTTCTTTATGCCTTTATTCTATATTACAACTTCTCACAACACTTTTCTTGAATGATTTTGTCCGTACCGCTTTGTTCATTAAACACTATATCAGACATAGGGGCATATCATAAATAGGCAAATTTTGCAACAACAGAGAAGACTACGATTTTCCAAACATACAAAACTAGACACCTTTTGTTGCTTTGAAGAACAAGAACAAGAAGTTGAGAGCGGGGAAGAAAGAGTGACTGCAATTTACCAATACTGAGCTAAATTGCCAACTTATCAGGAAGGGACACATACCTTTTGGTCCAAACAGTGTTGCATAACAAGGTTTGTGACAGTAAGGCTTCCCGTCATGCTAAAATAGAAAAAAAAAAATCCAAGAATTAGACTACAAAGATATTGGAAATTTTAATTTGCTTCAAGCAGGTGCTTCATTTCATTCAACACTAGATCAAAACCTGAGGGTCCTACCAGGGGTGGCATTGAAAAATTTTAACAACCAGTTTTCTGTTCGGTTGCTGGGTGGGCGTGGCCATGGGAGCGTGGCCTAGTCGGTTTCCTGAACCAAGATGGGGAAGACGTTTTTGCCCTCCCCAGCTCTGAAGGCTTTCCTCTAGCCTCCAAGAGACGAATATGGCCTCCCCGGGCTCTGGAAGTGCTCTGGAAGCTGGAATCAGGCCCATTTTCAGACTTCTGGTGCTTCTGGTAGGCCCATTTTCCACCCTCCCAGAGCCTCCTTAGGTCCTGCACTTACCTCGCAGCCAAAACGGGCCATGTGGAGATTCCTGGGAGGGAAGGGGTGGGCGGGGTCAGTCCTTGCAACTACCAGTTCGGTGAACCAGATTAAAATTAACATCCAGTTTACCTGAACCGGTATGAACCGGCTGAATCCCATCCCTGGGTCCTTCATATTACACGAGGACCTTAGCCTTTAAGGATTATGTGCACACCAAAAAGTCTAGCATTTCAGGAAGGTTCCTTCCTTCCATGATTCCTCCATAAACCTACTTCCTGAGCCGAGGTGGCGCAGTGGTTAAATGCAGCACTGCAGGCTACTTCAGCTGACTGCAGTTCTGCAGTTCGGCTGTTCAAATCTCACCGGCTCAGGGTTGACTCAGCCTTCCATCCTTCCGAGGTGGGTAAAATGAGAACCCAGATTGTTGTTGGGGACAATATGCTGACTCTGTAAACCGCTTAGAGAGGGCTGAAAGCCCTATGAAGCGGTATATAAGTCTAACTGCTATTGCTATTGCTATTGCTACTTCCCTGTTAGGAAGTTATTAAAAAGATATTAGTTAGGCTGTGAAGAAGGAGCAACAGGCCCTGTATTGATGGCATTGAATTTAGTTAGATTTACTTCCATGTAAGCCAAAATACTACGTGAATATTTCATGCTGCAATCCTAGCATTGTAAGGGCTCCTTTCCTAACTTAAGAAAGTGAAGACTGTTGAAAGGGAGTATTTCAAAAGGAACCTTTTATTAAATAGAATGGCAGCCATTGAATTCAAAGCAACATCTGAATCCCCTTAGGCAATGAAAATAGAATTAAAGCAGTAGAGACCCCTCCCAGTAGATAGAATGCAGATTTTAGCCAATACACAAGTGTGAAGATGTTTCCTTTATCAACTGCCCTGAGAGCCGAATAAACATGCATTTCCATGGCTATCTTCCGTTAGACATTAAAGTGAAACGTCCCACATGGCCATCATAAACATTCCCCCAAAAGGTGAGGTGATCTCAAGGCACTTTGGCACCAGGAAACCAATTGTAAAACATCAGTTGTCACAGGCACTGCTAATAAAACTCCAAGGTCCTCTCCTCCCAGTTGAATGGCAGTATCACTTTTAGGGATCTGACACAACTGTTACTCCCTAGATTGATGGGGAGGAGAAGATTGGGGTGGGTGGGAGAGAGACAGTGTGAGGAAGGCATTCTGGCAAATTATTTTATGATTGTCTCCTTACATTGGATTTCCATTAATGGTCCTAAATAATTCCTTCCTTCCTTCCACCCTTTCTAGCCACTTGGTTGGGGGCTAACTGCCCCAGGGGGCAGAACACCCAAGACAAACCCTCTTTCTGTGAATGGGCCATGCCAACGCAGTGGGATGCAGGGGCCGATGGGTATGGGTGGTGGAGTATGGTAGAGGCATGTCAGCCAAAGGGTAAATTGGCCGAGGAGAAACGGCTGAGGAGAAGGAAGAGCAGGAGACTAAAAGTCTTAGACCCCATTAGACTGATAGGAGAGGGGGGCTCCTGGGGTTATTCTGGCATGGGGACAAAGTATACCTCATTGACAACTTTGAAGGGAGTAAGCCCAGTGCTGCTGTGCACTACGTTATTGTATGCCACTTCAGCAAAAGGCAGTTCTGTCCAATTAGTCTGCTGGTAGTTGACATAATACCTTAGGTACTGCTGCACCATGGCGTTAGCCCTCTCCACTGCCCCATTGGCACGCAGATGAAAAGCCAAACTAAGCCCCTTGGAGGACCAATGAACTTTAAAATCTCTTTCCAGAACATAGCTGTGAATTGAACCTCCCGATCTGAAATAATTCTGCGTGGGCCCCATGCAATCAGTAGATATACCTCAGGAACAACTTTGTCAGTTTGTGGGCAAACAATAATCTGTGGAAGGCAATGAAATGGCCCTGTTGGAAAATTGGAAAAACTGACTATGAAGTCCATTGTGATCTCTTCCCAGGACCAGATGCTACTGGTTTCAGAAACCCAGGGGGATTTCCCAGTCTTTTCTTCATCATTGTACAGGTTGCACAACTCTTTACATAGCTCTCAATGTCCTTTTTCATCCCTGGCCACCAGAACTGTCTAATCAGGTGGAAGGTATTTATGAACCAAAGTGCCATGCCTGCCTGGCATCATGGCTCCTTCGTAGGACCTGTATCTGCAGGCTATTAGGGATGTATAGTTTAGTCCCTTTCCAGGCCAGCTCATCCCTAATGGTCAAGAGCTGTGGGTGGTTCTTGAACCAGGGTCGCTTTGCAACTTAGTTTTGAGTTTCTGGGTCCGTTCCTCCCCTGGTGTGGTCAGTTGCTGAATGGCTCATCATCATGTGATCACCTGAGCCGCTTCCTGAAGTAGGGGAATAATAGCATTAACCACCTCCTGAGGGGTGTGCTCTTGTACTAGGGCATTCTCAAAAGAATGTAAGCCAGAAAATCTTTTCCTCCCGGGAGGTATTTCAAGATGAAGTTAAATCAGTTGAAAAACTGTGTCCACTGAACCTGCTTTGGTGAGAGTTTGTAAAGAGTTCTAAGTGCCCCCAAATTTTTATGGTCAGTGCACACTTTAAATGGTACATTACTCCCCCCAGGAGGTGGTGCCAGGTCAATAGTGTCTATCAGACTGCAAAAGCCTCCTTTTCCCATACGGCCCAGCATCTCTCCATGTCAGTGAGTTTTTGAGAGATGTAAATGCACAGTTGCAGTTTCCCCTCCTCATTCCTCTGGAGGAGGACAGCCCCTACGGCCATGTCATTGGTGTCAGCTTGGATCACTAAGGGTTCCTCGGGATCAGGGTGCTTCAGAACCGGTTCCTTTGCAAATAGCCTTTTCAGAGTTTCGAATGCCTTTTGGAATTCCATCATCCATTGGAGCGGCTGGTTTGGCTGGGATTTAGCCCCAGTTTTCCCTGTTTTCAGTAGCTCTGTGATCGGCAAGGCTATTCTCACAAAGGATGTGATGAATTGCCTAAAGAAGTTAGTGAACCCTAAAAAGCTTTGTAGTTGTTTACAGGTCCAAGGAGCTTGCTATTCACCTTCCCTGGATCCATTCCCACCCCTTCACTCAATACTCGATATCCCAGATAGTCCAGCCAGGTCTGGTGGAACTTGCATTTGGACAGCTTAGTGTATAGGTTTGCTGCCAGAAGCTTCTTAAAAACTTGGCAGACTAGCTTGACGTGCTCCTCCATCATCTTGGTGAAAATGAGAATTGGCAGGAGCTCAATCGCTCAGTCCGTGGGCCTGTGAGGAGGTAACATGTCACACTCCTCCCCAAACACCTCTGCCAGGTCTTGGTATTTTCTGGGGATAATTTGCATCCCCAGTAGCTGTTCTGACCCAGCCCTTGTGTTCTGAGCCCTCAGATCCTGTCCTCTGTGGAAAGGCTTGCCCCACTTGTCCAACCAGGGTAGTCCCAGGATCACAGCTTCTGTCACCTTCAGGGCAATCACAAATCTCCCAGTGCTGACCCATCTCCAGCTTCACGGGTTGGGTAAAATTAGATACTGGGGTCCCTCCTATTAGTGAGCCATAGACTTGTTCAAACCTCATGGCCATGGATAGCCTCCTCGTTCAAATTCCCAGCCTCAGCATTGTGGGCAGGCTTATTAAACATGAGGTGCAGAATGAGTCTATGAGGGCCTCAAACTCCCCCTAAGCTCCTGATTTGGGTGCCACAATTCTCACAGGGATTGCAAAATGGCAGGTGGCTCTACTCACCATCAGGTCTCTTTTTCTCTTATCCTTGCTGTCATATGAGGTGGAAACTGGTCTCCTTCAGCCAGAGTGGGGAAGAGGGGACCTCGGGTGGGGAAGAGGGAACCTTGACGGCCTGGCATCCCAAGCTAGATTTCTCTGGTGGCTTCCATGGTGATTTTTTTGGCTTTCCCAGAGCTGTCAGTCCCGCTTTTGGTTTGGGAGTGGCTGCCAAGCATTCAGGTGCTCAGTGCCCCAGCTGACCATATCGGAAGCACTGTATGGAGGCTCGGGTTGGTCTTGTGGGAGCACTGGTAGGCATGGCTGAGGCTGATTGCCTCCTGGCTGATTGGTTTTCTTGGCTCTTTCACATCCTCGCCTCAGTGTTGCTCCTTTAGTGGCACCTGCTGCTGTTCCTTCTGCTGTTCCGGTAATGCAGGCTTCTTGGAGAGCATTAAGTTGCAGGCATAGTGCACCGATTCCAGCACCTGCATCTTGCCTTGAACTTTACTATCCCGGCAACACAAAGGGGACATTGTCTCAGGCGCTCCCACCCTTAGCCGGGAGGGAGTGAGGGTGGCTGGGTGCAGTTTGGTGCTTCCTGGCTCCCCTCAGATCATCAGTAAATTGCTTTGGATTTTTGAAGGACTGGCTTTTGCAAAAGAAACACGTTCTGGGCTGCAGGGTCTACAACACATGGTAGCATATGGTAGATCAGTGTTTTTCAACCTTGGCAACTTGAAGATGTCCGGACTTCAACTCCCAGAATTCCCCAGCCAGCGAATGCTGGCTGGGGAATT